CAGTATTGGAACCTGGGAACAAAGACAACCCATGAGGGGAAAAGGCTCGTTATTCTCTTATTGATCTGAGATTTAATAGAGCAGCAATTATGTATTACTCAAACTGGAGCATGTTGTCTTTTTTTGACCCTAGCTCCTTAGGAGCTCCCTGTTCCCCGACCAGCCCAAGAGTGTATCTGTGGGCACACAAAGAGCACGGAGAGACAGCAGGAACGGACGTGGGTTCCACTGCTGATGGCCGTAGCCTGGCAGTGGGGCAGTGCATGTGTGGGAGTGGGTGTGGCTTGTCGTGTCACCTTCCCAGCCGTGATAGTGACCTGGGTGAGGTATGGAGGGGACATCTGGGAAAGCCCTGACTGACACCCCCTTTCTGCCCAAGAAGGAATGTGAGCAGCTTTGTCCCCTGGCCATGCACAGCCCTTACTCCTCCAGGGGAGCAGGCAGCACAGAACCCCCTGCTGGAGAAGGCAGGGCTTCCCCACACCAGCAGGGCCAGGCCACCCATCCCTTCTCCCCACCCTCTGCCTCGGACTGGAACTGACCAGTGACCGACCGTGTTGTTCCTGTCCCTAGGCTGAGTAACTGAGCCAGGTCTGTGGGTGGAGTACAGGATGCTATTCCTGCACACTCTCTGCGTTTCCCCTCCTGCCCCTAACTGCACAGATGCTTAATCAGGCAGACGGTATTTACCAAAGGCATGTGCACACTCATCCTTCAAACCCTGCTTGCTTGTCACTCCTGCCGAGTAGCCCAGCACCCCTTCTCCTTGGCAGCCTCAGTGAGCTGTGGTGTGTTGCTGGGTACACAGTGAGGCCCAGGTCTCCCAAGGCTGTGCTCCACAGGGTGCCCCACAGGAGATGGTTAAGTGGATTGGTAAATGGGGGGTAGACACAGGAGTCAGGCTGGCGCAGGGAAACAGGAGAGCACATTTATCTGATTGAAAGTGGGGTGTCATGGGGAGCCCTGGGAACAGACAGTTGAGGTCAGCTGTACACACTGAGTCTGAAGAGTGGCCCTTGCAGCCTGGTGTACCCTGAAGAACTTCTAGTGATGATACAAATGCCATTTTTCTGTATTGTTGCATATAATCACCACCCTTCAGATGTGGCAGTTGTGTACCTGCTATGACTTTAGCGTGAGAGAGAATCTGTTTTATTTATTGAATTGTAACTAAACTTTTTTGTGCTGCTGAGGATTGAACCTGAGGCCTTGAACATGTTAGGCAAGTGCTTTGCCACTGAGCTGTCTCCCAGCCCCTAATTTCACTTTAAATAACTACCTGTGGCTTCTGGCTATTACATTAGCCTAGAGAAGAACTGGGCAAGGTTTTGGACCAGGCTGCCGGGGTATCACTAATAACAGTGAGTGGTATTTACTTATTATGTGCAGGTTGCTTTTCATGAGTATCTTAGTTAATCTTCACAGCAACCCTAGAGGATAAATATTATCCAGTTTTACAGATGAGAACCTCTTGTTTGGACAGGCTCTGAACAGCTTGCCCCGGGGTCCACTCAGGCCTCTTCCTCCAAAGCCTGTGCCTTAGCATAGTGCCCACTGCCTCTGCATGGGTTGAGAACAGTGTTTCAGGAACATGACATTGGTGACCATTCAGGGTGGTGAGGGTTGGAGCACCCAAGAAGACTGGGAACCCTAAGTGACTCCAGAGTAGAGGAGATGATCATCTATTTCTAGGGCTCTCAACATGCAAAAGCCCATTCTGGTGCAGGGATGCTATGGACTGAATGTTTACCCTCCCACACCCTGCACCCAAAAATCCATGTATTGAAGCCCTCACCCCCAGAGAGATGATATTTGGAAATGAGACCTTTGAGAGATAATGGTGCCATGATGGGTCTGGTGCTTTTACAAAAGAAGAGACCAGGAGGAGGGCCCTCCCCAGAACTCGGCCACGCTGCCACCTTAAGTCTAAGGCATTCTTGTTATGGCAGACCGAGCTGACTGAGACTTCCCCGGCTTGGTGTTCAGCAGGCTGGGGGGAAGCCTGCAGAGTGTCAGCAGAGGCCGCTGGGCCTAGGCTTCCTGTCTGTGGCTAGAAAGCCCTCTCTTCCCTCTCAAGAGATAGCTCAGGACAGAGCCAGACTCTGGCCTAGAACTATATTCGGAAGCAGGTGAGCAGGTCCCCACTATACCTGCATCCATAGTAAAACCTTGCCCCAGAGTCATCTTATGTCCCTTTCTCTGCCCAGGCATTTGTGAGCCACCAGCTATCAGAGTAGAACCAGCTCCCTGGAATTGTGTGGGCACTACCTGGGGGAAGAGGTGTAGTCACCGTCATGAACTCTGGAAGATCCTGCTCTGTTACTGACTAGCTGAGACTCGGGAAGTCTGTAACATCTTTGCACCTCCCTTTCTCCATTTGAATGTACAGTGGGAATTGTAACATCCACCTCCTTCATACCTGTGGCCAGGGTGTTGTCCCTGGTACACATAACACATCACAAATGATAGTTTGGTGTTTTATTCCCACCTGATTTTCAGGACATTCAACAGCCTTGGGAGGGGAAACTGCTCTGTGTGCTTTAGGGTGAGCTATCTGTGAACCTCATAAGTGTGTAAAGAATACAGCAGGAAAATCTGGCCTCCATGAAGACTGTACACGTTTTCACACTCACAACATGTATAGAGGGGACAGCAGGAATTATCAAGGAAGACAAAGCCAGCCTCTGTCAGCATCTCCTTCCTCTCCCATGGTGTGGGTCTTGAAGCTCCAGTTGTGGGTTGATAGAGATCCTCCCCTAGAGGTAGGAGGGTTAGGGTTGGGTGGTGTGAGGGGTTAAGGAGGATGGCTTTGAGAAGAAGGTCAAATATAGTGCCTTAAGGAACTAGGCTGCTGGTCCCTGGTGAGGCTCACTCCTACCCTGGCAAAGATCCTAAACCCTTGAGCCAGGTATGGTGATGTGTACCTTGTAATCTCAACTACTTGGAAGACTGAGGCAGGATCAAAAGTTCAAGTCCAGCCTGGGCAATTTAGATCCTGCCTCAAAAAAAAAAAAAAAAAAAAAAAAAATCAGGGGCCAGGGATTTAGCTCAGTGATTCTGCCACCTGTCTTGCAGCCGCAAGGTTCTGAGTTTGATCCCTGGTACCAAAAAAAAAAAAAAGTAACTTAAAAAAGGTTAGGTTGAATGTGGTGGTGCATGCCTGTAATCTCACCACTCTGGAGGCTGAAGCAGGAGGATTACCACGAGTTCAAGGCCAGTGTGGACTACATAGTGTGTTCAAGGGCAGCCTGAACTACATAGTAAGTAAGACCCAATCTCAAAAATCCACCCAACTTAATTAATTAAAATTAAATTTTAGGCCAGGGATTTAGCTCAGCGGTTCGGTAGCCTGCCTTGCAAGCGCAAGGACCCAAGTTCAATCCCCGGTACCAAAAAAAAAAAAAAAATTAAATTAAAATTTAAAATGGCTGGGAGGTAACTCAGTGGTAGAGCACTTTCCTAGAGTATACAAGACTCAGCCCAGAACTCCAAAAAACAAACGTAAAAGAGTTCCCAAACCTAGAACTTATACAGAGGTACCTCCCCCCACCTCCCACTTCCTGGGACCATGAGAGCTGGGAGGGCAAGCAGACAGCAGTGGACAGCATGCACAGTGCCTAGGAGACCCTCCCCAGGTGTGTGGGACACCTACTCTAGGGCTTCCTGAGAGCTGGAGCGGGGCCCCTATGATGACTGGAGTCTGTGAGGGACTTTCCTGCCAGCCCAGATGGTCAGGAGCCTACAGAGGAGTCCATTTTATTTGTCGAAATAAAAGAGAAGTGACATTTCTCGCACCTGAACCTTGGGTGGCAGCCAGCCTGTACCCCTACAAATGTGTGATAGACTCCTTTCTGTGAACACTGGCTCCCTCCTTCCTGCAGCGCTGGGCTCAACTACCCAATCAGGCTGATGACACATGCTTTAGGAAGCCAAGTTGGTGACATTTTCCTCTCCGTGGAGAGGTGTGCTTCTTGCTCAGTTGGCAGCCTGCGGAAAAGGCCAAGCAACAGATCCAGCCCTCCCTCAGCAGGGGGCTGGAGAGAGCCCCGCCCCTGCAGGGTGACTGGAGAGCTCTGAGCCCCTGAAGAGAAGCTGCTTTGCCATTGCTGAATCATAGGCCCCTAGTGGGCCTGGAACCAGTCTCAGCCCCAACAAATCCACCTCTGCTTTCAGTGTGTTTATCCTGGCCTTCCTCACCGTGGCTTGTTGCTGTGCCTTTAGGGGAAGCAAAATATGTACTTAGAAGTTATGAGCTTAAACAACTCTGCAGAAGGAAAAACTGAGACTCTGGGTTTTCCCAGAGTCCAGAGAGGATGGGTCCAGAGGATTTAATATAATTGCTCCAAAGTCAATCCTGAACCTCATCCTTACTGGCCATAATGATCTTGAGCAAAATTCTCAAACTCTTACACACCACAGATTCCACACCTGAGGAATGGGCCCCGTGCTCCAGGATTTGGGTCCTGGGATCATTAAGGGAGGGGGCTTGGCATGAAGCACATGTTCAGGCTTTCACTGGGATTTCCAAACACTGCAGCATCTTCTAACCAGTCTCACCCACGTGTGAGTCATTTTTGTGGCGATGGAGGAGTACACCGAGGACGGTATGTCTTGCTCTGATTTCCAGGTAGCCACACAATCTGTCAGATGAAGACCGTATCACATTCTGTTTGCCTGTATCTTCCCCGGGTATCGGGTGTTTGAGTTATTTCCAGTTCTTTGCAGCTGAAAATGATGCAGCTGTGACTGTCAGCGAGCTTATTTTTTGGATGTGGTCCTAACAGAACTTAATTATGGGGGTGGAATCTTATGGCATGGAGATCCATGGATGGGGCACAGTGGACGGCACCAAAGCTTGCTGGATGGGTGATCTGTCCTCATAGCTTGAAGCAAAAGCCATCCATCCCTTGGAAGTTGCAGAGATGACCCTTAGTTACAGTTGTTCCAGCCCCTCAGCCTAGAAGGAAGTATTGACACTTGTGTGCCCCTCTCTCTCGCAGAAAGTCTGCACCAAATGTGGGATCGAGGCCTCTTCGGGCCAGAAGCGGCCCCTGTGGCTGTGTAAGATCTGCAGTGAGCAAAGAGAGGTAGGGGCCCCTGCGCCAGGGAGGGTGGGCTGGGCGGGGTCTGGGCCTGATTGTTACGGAGTGGGGGACGGTTCCTGGCAGGGGCTTCTCTGGAGGTCACAGAGGGACCACCCTGGGGGGTCCCAGAAGGGTGGGAGGGACAATCCGCTGGTTTGGTTATCTTCCCTGGGCAGGGGTGGTAGAAGGCCTGGTTCTCTGCCTGTGAGGCCTGTGGTCTGGGTGGGCAGCCCCTGACACTGAGTGGGTGTGCATGTGGAGGGGCTGTTGGTAAAGTGATAGCTCCCCTGAGTCAAGTGTTTGCTGAGCTCTTCATACTGTGCTTAGTTCCTTACATCTATGAATCTCCTTCCTCCTTACATAACCCCACAGGTGGATACTGTTCTTAGCCCCTTTTCTTGGTGGAGAAATGGCAACTCAAGAGGCTAAGTGACTGGGGACCCTGACCTGGTGGGGTATGGGGCTGGAGACCATGCGCAGCCATGGCTTGGCTGTGATGCTGCCACCCCTCAGAACCCTCCTGGTGCTGCGTTCTGTCACTCCAGTTCCGACCTCGTAGAAGAGGAGATTCAGGGTCACTGAGGACTCTGGGTAGTAGCAGACTGGGTGGGGTGGAGCCTGGACCTGTTTCCCTACTGCAAGCCCAGGGCCTTCTTGGCTGCAGCAAGATCAGAATGGAGCCAAACAGCAGGAAAAGATTTGTGGCTTCTCGGGAGGGCCATGGGGACAGAAGGTACTGTGCAAGAGAAGCAGCCCCTAGCTTTCCAGATACAGATTTATCTTTCCATGGTGGTGCTTTTCATCTGAGGATCTATAAAATGTTGTCAGTTCTGGAAAACCCTCAGCCCTAACATCCTCGAATATTACTCTTCTGCCGTTCCACCTTTTTTCTTCCGGAAACCACACATTTAAAGCCTCTCGATCCATCTTGTGTAACTCCCAACTGCTTTCCTTGCTGTGTGGCCCCCTCCGTGGAGGTCCTGGGTCCCCTGGGGCAGGGCCAGGCGTTCACAGGGATAATGGGATTATTTCAGAGTGCTGCAGTCTGCTGTCTGTGCAGCTGCCCACCCGCTTTCTTACCTGCACTCTGGCCTTCAGCGGTCCCCAGTGTTTCCAGGTAGGAAACTCCCTTACCAGCCCCAAGAGTGTCTTGGCTCTGGTCTCGCCTCCCATGGGATGCTTTAAATTCCTGTATCCTTGAAAGACCAATCTCCCACCTGCCTCTACCTGTCTTTGGGCCCAGATCTCTGTAGGTAGCCTTTGGTCCCTCAAAATAATAAGCATTTGAATTTCTGGTCCACTGAGATATATATCGATTTTGAACACAAATACGTTTACTTCCTGTCACTGTTTTTAAAATATTTCCATCTTTCACTGCTCTGTGTGTGGAAGAAAGAGATAGCAAGCAGGCCTCGAAGTGTGAACTAGCATTCAGTCTTACTTGGAGGCTCGTGACTCCTCTTCCCCAAATGGCAGTGATGATGCCCACTTCTCCAAGCTGCTGTGAGAATTCAGCGAGCTCATTAAAGTGTGCAAAATATCTGGCACTCCTTAAATATTAGAGCGCCCTCCCAGCCCTGCCAGAAAGCTCCCTTTTGACTCTGAGGCCCTTCTGGTGTCCAGGGAACCCCTTTTAAGATGCAGATACCCCATGTCCACAAGGAATGAAATACCTTGAAACACTGTCTCAAACATGGGGGAGGTGCCTTAGCAGGATGGATGGGAGGTCAGAGGTCAAGGAGCTGTCAGAAGGGAAGGCAAATTTCACAAACTTAATTGTTCTGCAGAGGGCTGCTGAGGCCGCTGCCCTGTCCAGCCTCATCACGAGTTACCTCCTGACGCTGTAATAGTGCAGGGTTGCCCCCTGCAGGGAGCCCTCCCCCCAGCCCCTCCTAATCGCCAGAGCACTCCAGTGCCCAGAAAAGTCCAAAATAGCTAAGGATGAATTTTCTTATCTTTCCTAAGGCAAAAACTATGAAGCTTTGCGTTATGCTATCAATTTATCCTTGAATTTCTAGAAGCCGATGAAACGTAACAAGGTCAGAAATGTCCCCTCTGCAGTACCAGGCACTGTACGGGATGTGCCTGTGTGGATGGGGTCATGAACAGCCACGCTTGTGCTTATGGGTCTGTGGGTTCCACACCCAGGTGCTAGAGTGTCCTGTCTGCTTGTGGGGTGGGACAGGGACAGGGTAACTGGCTTCCTAGTGCCTTTTTTTTTTCCTTAGAAAAATACCTAATCATAACAAAGAGAGAGCTAAATACAAAGTGCATTTAAAATGTCAGATTTTCAGCACCGCGTGTAGTCAGGCCTAAGACCTTGATAAGAACGTGAAATTCTGTTCTGCAGCGAAAGCCAAATCCTAATGGAAGAACCTGAGTTTTCTGATGGAAACTCTTGCACTGCTCTGCCCAAGCACTCTTATCTTCCTTTCCTTTCGGTGCTTCACTTCCATCATCTCTGGCTGTAATTGGAAGTAGTTTTTCTGGAGGGAGTTGAGCGCTGGGTGAAATGTTCCTGGGCTGTCAGCTTGGCACTGCTGCTTGTTTTATGCACCTGGATGATGCAGCAATGTGAGCCTTGGTCCCCCTGCTCTTATGGAGTTTGCAATCTAATGCCTTCATTCCTTCGGACATTCAGCACATATTATGGGACATCTGTGTCCCAGGTAAAATAGCTCTTCCAATGAGAGAGAGACCACAAACACAGAAAATAAGTTCTGCCACCTCACAGATGGTAATAAAGAGCTCAGGACCAAGGGGAGGAGGGTTATGGGATCAGTGGAGTAGGGGCTGTTTTATGTGAGGGTCAGGGAGAAGCTCATTGATAACATGACATTTGAGCAGAGATCCGAAGCACTCTATGTAGCTATGTGGAGAGAAAGCATTCCAAGTGGGGGATATAGGAAATGCAAAGGCCCTGAGGCAGTTGTGTGCTTGATAGGTTTGAGGAACAGTGAAAGGACCAACAGGGCTGAGGGCCTAGGATTTAGCTCAGTGGTTCCTATGCCTGCCTCACAAGCGCAAGGACCCAAGTTCCATCCCCAGTACCAAAAAAAAAAAACCAACAGGACTGGAGCAGCATCTAGGTTGGGGATGATCAGAGATGTGAGGGAGATCAGAGCGTGGTCACCCTTGCAGACCATTGTGAGCACTTCGGGTCTTTTACTCAGTGAAATAAGGAGCCCTTGGGGGTTCTCAGTGAGGAGTGGCTGACCCAACTCCTTCATTTTAAAGAGTACTGAGACTTCTGCATTGGGAATAAATCATAGACTGATGTCTGTCAGAACACAGTATTTTATTTTTCGTATTTAATATTGCTCAGATATCTTAAGTTCTTGTCTATTGCTACCCTTAAAAGTTTCCTTTTTTGAATGTATGCATTTTAACATCTTCTGATTTTAAAATCAATACAGATCCTTGAGAAGCATTTACAGTATGTGGAAAGTTCTCAGAAAAAATAAATAAATCCTCCCTATAATCCTAATATCCAGAGACAACATTAACATTTAACAATTAACATTTTAGCATATTTAATTCCAACCTTTTTCTGTGCCGTTTTACTTTATATTATCGACCCTCTGTTTCAAAATTAACATTACATCAAGACCCAGGGATTTAGCTCAGTGGTTCTGCCACCTGCCTCACAAGCACAAGGTCCTGAGTTCAATCCCTGGTACCAAAAAAACAATTAACATGACATCATACATTTTTCCCATTGTCATCAAGAACTCTTCCATATGCATATTCTTCTAATTTAAGACGCAAGTTGTTTTCGTTTCCTTCTCTTAATAGTAACTGGTCTTTGCCGACATTTTTAGGATTGAACCCAGGTACTCATACATGGTAGGCAAACACTCTTTGATGGAACTGTACCCCCATCTTCTTGGCTTACATTTCACATTACAGCCTCAGAATAGATTCCTAGAAGGAGAAAATAAACATTGGTGTTTTTGCTGCTTTTTGAGACAGGTCTTACTCTGCAGTTCAGCCTGGCCTCAAATTCATGGTGATCCTCCTGCTTCAGCCTCCAGAGTGCTGGGATTATAGGCATGTGGTACCATACCTGGCCTCTTACACGCTTTTAAATTATTATTTTTATTTATCTCATAATTAACTGGTGTATGATTTGATGCAATTTCTAAGAATAAGGACACATAAGTAGTTTTTTGAGTCCTTTGCTATCTGATGAATGTTACCTTTATACAAAAAACAAACTTGACTGATCATACAATTGGACATAAGCTTTCCCATTCCCGTTCTGTGGTTTTCCCCTTTTACCTACCAACCACATGAAGAAAATAACTACCATCAGGGAGAGTTGGTGAATGAAACAATTAGGGGAACTGGTACCCAGGAATTGTGAGATAATAGCAAAACTATGAAAGAGACTTTAGATAAAGGGTTTTTAATTGATTGATTAAAAGGTATAAGAGAAGGAATAGAAATCAAATTGAACAAACAGGGCCTTTGGAAAAAAAGAGTCGGCAAGTTTGAAAAAGAACAGAAGGAATCATTTTGTTTTCTAAAAATGACATATTATTAATGGATTGTAAAACTCAATTGAGCTATATGCTAGTCATTTCTTAAAGCAATATGCCTTGTCATTCCCATTCATGGCCACAGATATTTCCTTATCATTTGCTTCTTATCGATTGTTTTTTATTTTTCTTTTAGTTTGTTTTTCTTTTACTTTTCTTTTTGGTGTACTGGGCATGAAACCCAGGAGCGCACTAGGCAATCACTGTACCACTGAGCTATACTGAGCTATACCCCCAGCCCTGTTTTTTATTTTTGAATCCTTGTTGGTACTTCTAAGTACCTCATCTCTGATTTATTCTGTCCTGACTATCATGAAAATGTCACTTTTGTGACCACACCAAACTACACCATTCACCTAATTAGCTGCTTGCCTTTTACTAACTAGCTGCTTACGCCAACACTGCATCTCCTACCTGTAGACACACCCTGCCCATTTCCCTTCCCTCAGTGGGCTGGCACTC